ATTCAAATTATCTTTGAGGATACTTTTGAAACCATTTTATATTAAAAAAAGTATGAAAAATATTCAAAAGATGCAAAATGAWGCAATTGCAATTATTTGACATATTTTAGTTCATTTATAATATGTTTTATTACTTTATTTATACATATATGCAATTAACTAATGTATCAGTCAACAAATCCTGACGTAATCCTGACGTAACCCTGACAAAACCCTGTGTGAATTACATTCATACACTTTCTTTCCCAAGTTTTTTCATTTGAACAACAAATCTGAACTTTTTATCGAACCTGGGTCAGAACTGGATCATGGAACCATTTTATAAAAAAAAAGTATGAAAAATATTCAAAAGATGCAAAATGATGCAATTGCAATTATTTGACATATTTTAGTTCATTTATAATATGTTTTATTATTATATTTATACATGTATGCAATCAATTAATGTATCAGTCAACAAATCCTGACGTAATCCTGACGTAACCCTGACAAAACCCYGTGTGAATTACATTCATACACTTTCTTTCCCAAGTTTTTTCATTTGAACAACAAATCTGAACTTTTTATCGAACCTGGGTCAGAACTGGATCAAAGGGTCCAGTTTTAGAATTATATGTTATACAGGGTGTTTAAATAAAATTGTGTTGTCAGGATTTAATTCTATCCTTGACAACACAAGGTCGTCTTTAGTTTGTCAGAACATCGTTTCTTTGGACTAACACGGATTTATCTTAGTAGTAACTATCACCATCAGGATTTCATCCTTAGATAAGCATGTTTTCCCTTAGGATTGTGTTTCTGACCCTTCTTTCTTCTAACCATTTAATTTTCTTTTCCTATCCTTCTCGGATTTATTTGATTTATGATACATAAGAGATCATTGTTCCTAGTGTTATTATCACTCATTCTAAATCTCACGTTGGATGATTGATAAGAAAAAAATAAATAAGCTCCAAATGATGTATGTATAATTTTATCTTATCTTATCTTATCTTATCTCATCTTTTTTTTCATAATATTTTCTAAAACAAAATTCATAGAAAATAATGAACAAATTTATAAACCTAGAATGTTAATTTAAATCATTCATAATTCATCACTTTTCTATTTCTGATGACTTTTTATTGGTTGAGCTAGTAGAAAAAGTAGTGGGGGGGGGTGAAAGATGTAAGAACTGTTGATTGGTCAGAATTAAAGAAGGTGGGAGAGAAACGGACACACGATTGGAGCTTTGAAATCTCTGCCTGAACAAATGGGTTATCGATTTTCGGATTTTCTTTTGAAAACGATTACGCCGGAGGGATTCATGTGTGTTTGATAGTCTTTTCAAGTATATATGCATCATTATCCATGCATACACATACACATATACATATATGTAAGTACACGGAACATATGAGTAAATGAACACATATATATATATATATATACATTCATATGTGTATATGATTTCATATATGGAAATATGAATTCATAAATGTGTATATAAATGTATACATAAAAATACACACACACACACGTATATGTATATGTATGTATAAGTAAACCGATGTAATGGTGTAACGTAAGCTTCTTTTTGAAACATATTTTTGCTTGGAAAGATATAAAGCTTGGCTAAGACGAGAAAGACGATTTGTCGAGAGTCATGAGACCAAATAAAATCATCTTACAGTTATCTTATTTAGATAAAAAAAAAAAAAAAAAAAACCTAGCAAATCTGAAGTGATAATAAGAATAACAAATAAAACAAGTATGCCAAAAGTGAATTTGAATGAAATAGTACGAAAGTAGGAAGAGTTTGGAACAAGTGACATCCTTAGGGGATGGTTGTAACAAGGGTTGGGGGGAGGGGGGTTAAGGGTCTAAAAAGGGTACTGCCAAGTCTAAAGAAAATCGTTGGTATCGTCGTGTGAAGTCGGCAAAATCTATTTCTAGTGTTCAACCGATAAACTTCTTCTCCATCTCCACTTCCACCTCCAGCTCCTCGAATTGAGAAAACGCGACGAGCTTGAAATTCGTAAAAAGGAGGAGGAGGAGGAGGAGGGTTTGTCTCTACTTAGGTGGTCTCCTGAATTCTACGTCAACGATTTTCGTCTTTGTAAATTTTAAAGCATCCCCTTTTTCTTTTCTCATGTTTTTTTTTTTTTGATCAGACAATTCCTCAGAGAAATCAACCCGTTTGTCTTTTTAATCAACAAATTGTCCTTTTAAAGCAAAGAAAAAAAAAAAAAAAAGAAAACAAAACGTGACACACCCCTACGATTTATATAATTTCAATTACGAAGAAATTAAATTGAAAGTATTATTATTCTGTAGAGAAAATAAAAATAACGAAAGGATGGCATTTAACAAAAAAAAAAAAAAAAAAAAAAAATTCTCAAAACATTAATGAATGAAAATTGACATTGTGAAAGATAGATAGATAGATAGATAGATAGATAAAACGTGTTAAGATAATTTACAAAATATAAATATAGAAATGTAGTTAGAAAGATATGAAATGTTCGTGGAATATCTGAAATAAATGTTTTCTCTGATTTTCACCTGACATCGTCAATTCTCTTTCTAATTATGTTCTCTTTCTTGTCACTTAAATTATTCCGATTAAGAATAGAATGATCAGAAGTTGTGTCATTTGACGTTTCAAAGAAATAAGACTGAGTTCATCCGTTCATGTGATCGATGAACGGATCAAAAGTTGAAAACAAAATGAAAGAAAGAAAATCTGAGATAGAAAGAGATGGCAAATAAAACACACACGTACAGATATATATATATATATATATATAGAAAGATAGAAGAGAACCCATACATCTAGGCACATGCTCGACATTCATGTCGAGATATTAATATGTACGACGACTTTCAAGTGCACCGCAAGTCTCGTAATAGCGGTCCAGAATCCGCTTGAAATGTCAGACTCGCGAAACGTCAAACTGCTTGGCATGCTTAAGAATCTTCTTCGTGTTCGGTTACGTTACTTACGTACCTTACCTGGACATTCTCTAGAACCTTATTTGCAAAACTGATTAAGCCCTTCTTTTTTTTCCAATCACTATCAATATTATTATTACTTAATTAACCAAACACCTGAATTAACAAGTTTGCACAACCTACACTCAACTTCCTAAACTTACTGGAACTAATATAAAAATAAAAATAAAAATAAACCACTTGTATTTTTCTTACTTTAATTGAAAATTAACATAAATTTAATAATTTATAATTAAAAATAAATTTAAATAAATTTATTGTATAAATCACCTATAATTAACACGTTTACAAACCCCCACCCAACGTTAAGTACTTGCTAGAATTAATATAAACATAAATAAAAATAAACCACGCACGCAATTTTTTTTTTTTTATTCTAATTGTAAATTATAAAATAAATATTATATAATTCCTAAATTAAAGTTAACTAAAATAAATTTWATCCCTAAGTTATATACAATAAATTAAAATAAATATAATTCCTATATTAAAGTTAACTAAAATAAATTGAAATAAAAAATTTCCATAAATCACCTATCAGTAATAAAAAAAAAAATATTAAAAAATAAAATCTATATCAATAATTGAATATAAATATTATCAAATAAATCATTAATTTTAATATAACCTACATAATTCTACTAATTCTGAAATTAACATCGTTTACACACCCGATCAAAATTATCTTTCATTTACTTTACCTAAACGTTTCGATGTCAAGCAATTAGCTAACAATAACATTTGGATTATTATACGTCTAGATGGTTCATAAATGACGTCCCACGCATTACCATCTTCAATTTGCTATCCTAATCGTGAATAATGTACATTTCTATCATTGTACGTTAATCAGTCTAGAAGGAAAACATTGTTTCCCGTCAACGTACAGAAGATTAATCACCTAATACTTTTTCCGGTAGTACATGAAAGCCCATAATTCTGCAATCCCAATGTCTACACCAACATTCCCCTAGAATCCCCTCAGCATCCAATCTCCAACAAACTCCCACCACCCCCCACCCACCCACCCCTTTGGCAGTTCTATTTCGTCCTCTTTTCCCTCCCCACCCTCAATCTTCTCGTTAGACAAACATTTCAAACAGGAATATAGAACTTGCTTATTTCTAAGATTCTTCTTCTTCTTCTTCTTCTTCTTCTTCTTCTTCTTCTTCTTCTTCTTCTTCTTCTTCTTCTAGGTGTGTTCTTTCTGTTTTCTGTTCTTTTATTTCCCATAAAAGTCTTACGTATATAAATTGTATTGCAAAAGAGGCAGCTCATGGTATTACGATAACAAGATGCCCTGATTTCTTCATACACAAGCAAATAAATCGAAACATAATTGAGTAAAATATTTGTTTCTTAGGAAACACAAAAAAATTGCAGAAGTGAAATTATTTGTAAATAAAAATAAAGGTGTTACGAGATATCGATAATTCAATTGTTTTAATATATTTTACAAATTTAATATATATAAACTTGTTAATTAGGGTGTTGGTTAATTAAGTAATTCATATATATATAGATTACTAGGGGTGTCCCGCCACGCGATGCTGTGTCTCACAATCAGTCCGATACCCACGTCTTTAAGTCAACGAATTACCTTACACCGCCATCTGTTATAAACTAAAAAATATAAACTATCCTATCTTTCAAATTGGATGAAACTGCATACATTGTGTAAAATTTGATTAAAATCGGTTCAGTAGTTTAGGAATCCATTGCGAACAAACAACGTGACACCTAATTTATGTATATTAAGTATATTGATATTAATAATATTAATATTATAATTGAAATTCTTTCTCTCTCTCTCTCTCGTAAATTTATCCTGAACCATGTAAATGTTTAATTAATTAAAAAATGAACGAAAAATGAGATTAAAGTTAAGGTTCTTTTTTTTTTTTTATTCAACCTCAATCATCTCCATGTTTGTTTGTTTTTTTACTGAATTGTTTCATATTATATTTTGTTTTTAAAAATTTGATTTGTTTCGTGTTTGATTGCAGATCGAAGTTTTTTAGTGGCAAACGCTCAGCAAGGACTATGCCACATAATCTATTGCTCGGACGGTTTTTGCCGGCTGACAGGTTTTTCCAGGGCGGAAGTGATGCAAAGACCGGCGGTCTGCGAATTCCTTCACGGACCGATGACGTCTCCGCATGCGGTCGCAGCATTACGGGACGCACTCGTTGCGGGTGTCGAAAAACATTTCGAGATACTCTATTACAGAAAAGACGGTGAGTCTTTTGATTTATTTCCATATTTTGACAAATAAATTTATGAACAATAATAATAATAATAATAATAATAAATAATAATAAAAATCATATGTTTGAAAATGTTTTTGTTTTTTACAATTCTACGATTTTTATAAGAAATGTGAAAATTTTGCTTAAATTTTGGCTTTGTTCTTCGAAGTGATTTGATAAAACAAAAAAAGTTGGGTGGGGGAGGGGGTAAAAGTTACTAGGAAGAATTGTTTGATCATTTGACTCAACTTATATGATTTATTTTCACGATTGAGAGCCAAATGTATGTATGTATGGTTCCCTTTCTCTTTCTCTCTCTCTTTCTTTGACTTAACTCGAAAAGCTTTCACAAAGATTTCTATGAAATTTCAAACCGGACGTAACAAATTCTTTAAAGTAATACGACGAAAATCGTTTGATTCGTATTTTGGCAAACTCTTAAGAGAAGCATTTTCTAAAGACGGTGATTTATCAATATTCAAACTTATTATAATATACTTTAAGTACATAATAGTATTTCAAAGTTATTGAATTATTGAAAAACTAAAATAACAAAAATATATCTTTTGAAATAACTTTTGTAGGTTATAATCCTACACATTTTATCGGCCATTTTTTCTTTTCACCAGTAATAGTAACACGTCTAGTAACATTTTGAACGAATCTTTCAAAATAAATTGACACACGAATTAGTTTTGTCTATGAATATTTGTTAATTAATATTCAACATTTAGTAACTTGTCAAGTTTGAAAGTTATTACGAAGATTTCTGTTGAAAGTTTTGTTTTGCAGTGGGGAATAAATGAGGTTATGTTGACGAGTAATATAACATGTAAATAAACTGACGAAAAACTTGTAAACGTTTCAAGTCGTTTGTTGAAAGTCGTAAAGATCGGTCACACACTTTAACTTTTGATAATATTCGTAAACTTAATTTGCATATAAATCATTTAACAATAATATTACAATATATTTTTTTGGTTTTGTTTATATTACTGTTGACAACTGTAACATTTTATTAATAATAAATATTATTTTTTATTATTATCATCACACAGATAAAATTTAGAAGATTGTTTTTTTTTTTTTTTAGAAACGTTTGTTCGTAAATCTCAATTTTGTATCTTTTACAAGATAAATTTGTTTGTAAAACAATAGTAAGGAGTGAAACAATGTAATTTACTGTAAATTATCGATCATTTTTACACTTCTTTGTATTTTTATTTTAAACGATTAGAAATGTGATTTGTTTAAACTAAAGGGAGGGGTTGGAATAAAATGAAATTAGTTAACTTTGACTAGGATTTAACAGCAGTCAGAGTGGGTTCTGCTTTCGATTTTGCCGTAGTGTCTGACCTTAGGCGCGGTAAGATCGATAGTCACTACTGTATAATTTATCATAGTCATAGCTGAAAAGAGAATGAGTCAAAGAGAGAGAGAGAGAGAGAGGATTCTTGCTTTAACTCTAACTTTCATTCGATTTCTCTGACCTCAGCCAAAACTTTGTTACATTGTCTTACGTTTTCATTTATTGTTTATATATTCACTTAATTTTCCTTTTTTTTACAGTTTCAATATCATATACAGTATTTTACAGTTATAAGTTTAAAGAGAGGATTCTTGCTTTAATTCCAACTTTCATTTGGTTTCTCTGACCTCAGCCAAAACTTTGTTACATTGTCTTACGTTTTCATTTATTCTTTAAATATTCACTTAATTTTCCTTTTTTTTACAGTTTCAATATCATATACAGTATTTTACAGTTATCATACAGTTAAAAATAAAAACATTCCAGTAAATTTTCATTTTTTTAAAATTCATTTAAAATGCGTAATCTTCATTCGATTTGGTATTAAATGTAAACAAAAAATTACAAATAAAACAAAGTGGGCTTGTTAAATGTATTGAAGAAGTAAACAAAAAAAAAAAGGAGTAGAAAGGTGAGGGGTGTAAGGGGTGTAAAGATGAAGGGTTGGTTTTAACGTATGAAAGAAAGTGAATGAAAGGCGTTAAATGAAACTAAATAGTTTGTGTTGGCCGACCACCTGCAGGCACCTTAAAGTCGGCAACATCAAAACGATTCGAGAACGTGTTTTAAGTCAATGTGGTTGGTGGTGGTGGTGGTGGTGGTGGTGGTGCCTTCTGTTAAAACAACAAACTAAATCTGCTTGCCTTTTCTTCTCTCTCTTTCTCTCTCTCTCTCTCTTTCTCTCTTTCTCTATTTCTTTTACTTTCTCGTGACGTTGATGGCCACTTGACTTTCCCAAAGGAAAGCACACCGAGTTTTCTCCTGCAGTGCCAATGAATTCATTCATATTTGTTGTTTACAAATTAACATACTCTTTTTCTTTAAATTATATCCCCTTTATCAAACCCCTTTTTATTTTTTATTTTTTTTTTTTGAGTGTAGAAAATTTTAATTCATTATTTTCTTGTTGTTGTAATTTTTATACTTTTGTGTCCAAATAATTTGGTTGTTTGCAAAGAGTTTTGATCGGTGTTTTGAATAATTGGATGATTTGTAGGTTTTGATTTTATTTTTTTTTTTGTAAATATTTTTAGAAAATAGAAAATTCCCTTTTTTATCAAATTTCCATTTTTTAATCTTTTTAGTTTTGTGTCCAAATAATTTGAGTATTTGATACGAGTTTTTATTGATGTTTTGAATAATTGGATGATTTGTAGGTGTTGATTTTATTTTTTATAAATATATTTACAAACAAATACAAAATTTGCACATAGCACTTATTTTTGAATGTCCATTTTTCTTTACAAGTTTCACAATTCGACAGATAAATAAAATAATAAATGTGTAATATATAAAATTGATAATATTAAATGTGTATTGAAAAATTGTGATGAAACAATCTGTCCCAAATTTTTCCCCACCACTCTCCTACCCACCCCTTCTTAAATAAACCCATGACATAAATTCTTTGTTCTTATTTTATTGAATACGCGATTAAAATATTTACTCAATTTTTTCAACCATTATTCTGTTAAAAAACGTCTCAATTATATTCATTCCATTTCAATTTTTCTCAATAATAACTCGGGGGGGAAAAAAAAATGTCTGTTTCATTCTTTCTCATTTTGTTTCATCTTAATCTTCATCTTTTTCGAGTGGCCATTTCGCGAGCCGACTCCTCCAGAGAGAAAAGCTTTTTCGTTTATTACGCAACCATGCGAATGGGAGGTGAGCAAGGGAAACGAGAAGTAGGTGTCCGAAGCATCCAAGAATAGTCGTTGCTCGTGCATGTGCTTTCCAACCTCCCCCTCCGTTAACCCCTAGTCCCCAAAAAACTTCCCCTTTCTCCCCTAGCCTCCCCAGTTCATCCTACACCCCTTCCACATCTTCTCGTTCTCCTTCCATTACCCCTTCCCTTTATTTTCAACCGATACTCTCCCTGTCCCCCACTGTTCAACCATGTAACCCTTTTTTACGTATTCGATGACATCACGTACTATGTGTGCCAATGTGACGTCATCGATCTTTTATCTCCAAATTATCTGTAATTTTTAAATTCAATTTCCCATTTGGTTTAGTTGAATATATTTATTATACACGTTTTTTTTGGGGGGGGGGGAGAGTGTATATGTGGTTGTGTATTTGTATTTGTATATATAAATGTGGTTAATGTGATTGGAAATATTGGATATTAATTGGTTTAATAGATTTGAAATATAATTTTGGATGTTTAATATCATTGGTTGATGGTTTATTATTTTATTTTTTTTTTTAGTAAATTGGAATTAAATTATTAATAATTAATGTGTAATTATTAAATTGTATTATATTATATGTTGTAATATATTTTTAAATATTGTATTAAATTATATATTATATTATATTGTAATAAATTTAAATATAATATTAAGTTATATTATATATATATATATATATAAATTAAATAAAATATAAAATTAAATTATATAATAATTATATTATATTAAAATAATTAAAATATGAAATTACAAATTATAATAATTAAATAAAAAATATAAAATTACAAATACAAAATTAAATAAAATATAAAATTAATTTATATTACCTATATTATATATTAAAATAATATTAACTATAAAATTATATTAACTATATTATATTGAAATAATTATATAATTAAATAAAAAATATAAAATTACAAATATATAATTAAATAAAATATAAAATTACAAATATATAATTAAATAAAATATTAAAATTACAAATATAAAATTAAATAACATATAAAATTACAAATATAAAATTAAATAAAATATAAAATTAAATTAATATAACATAACTATAATTAAATTATTATAGTATCAATAATTAAACATAAATAATATTA